AATATTTTTATGTTAATTAGGATTATACCTACATATCGAGTCTTCAAAAAAAAAAACAATCAAAGATTGCTATGGTTTTTAAACGTATGTCTTAGCAATATTTTTCTTCCATTTTGTCAATGAACTTTAATTTCAAATGTCATGTCAAAAATCCTGACCAATAAAAAAACAATAATGCGACATACGTTTTCGTAATCAAAGCAATCTTTGATTGTTTTTTTTTTTTTGAAGAGCCGATACAAATAGTAGTCGTATAAAAAAAGTTGTCTGCAAATTTTGTATAAAGCTGTAAAGAATATTTTTAATTATACGATTTGATATGTGCCATCCGAAAAACAAAAAGTGTGTTTATTTACCTCTTCTCCCCCCTTTCTGTTACCTCTCGTCAAATCACATTTGTTTAACCATGAGGCATGAGGTGTGATTTTTTTTTCTAGTATAAGATCATTCTGCCAAAAAGGTCAAATTTCAAACATCCATATCTCAAAAACCAGTATAAGTTTAAATCATTAGTTGGAGATATCACAACTTTTAGAATTCCAGAGCGATCTCAAAAATAAAAATAGGGGAAATGGGGTCACAAAAAAAAATAAGCATGTTCTTGTGATGGGGGTTTTCATTTGATTATTTCCCTCCTGTCATTTTAAAGCAATCACAAATATGCATTTTAAATTCAAATATTTAATATTGTATTCAAGTGGGAAAATTAAAAAATTGTTGATAGGTCAGAAAAATGTTGGTTTTCTTGTAACTTGCAATGATAACCAGAAGGTAAGTTAATTTATTCATTGCTTTATTTAATATAAGAATTTTGAATTTTTGCTCTTAGATTCAAAATGTCTTGAGCGATTTTGTTCAAATTTTTAGAGTCTTTGCGATGTTCTCAAGCATCCTTCTAAAAAATCCGTTGAGTTCCAGGACCGGATCTAGAGTGACTCTTATTTTCTTAACAGAGTGGAGTGTATCGAACAAACGAGATTTTCCAAACAATATATTGATTTTTATTTTTTATCTCGTAAACGTCGCATCGAACAAGAAAAACTCGGGATACCTTTTCCGTTTAAAATTAAACAAGGAATTTAAAAAAAAAATTCAATTCGTCAAAAATCCCAGGGGCATTTTTTCTTAAAAAAAAAAAGAGTCGCTCTAGGTCTAGTCCTGGAAAAACGAAACTCAAACGGATTTTTTGGAAAGACGCTTAAGAATATCACAAAAAATCTCTGAAAGTTTCAGCAAAATCGCAAATCGCTCAAGGCATTTTAAATCTAAAGGTAGAAAGTCAAAATTTTCCGAAAATTTCAACACTATGTAATTTCTTAACAAGACGTTTGCTGACACATGTACCTACTTATGCAAAAAGAGATTGTCCTACTGTACTCTATCTATCATAACAAAATGCACACTTATTTCGGACTCACCCTGTATACCTTATAAAAATAATTGTTTTGCTGAGTCAGGAAATAATCTTACTAAATATCATACGTGCTCTAATTTTTCCTGCGGAAATATACCTACTTACCTAAGAAACTAATTTTCAAGCAATTTATTTAGCAAAAAGGACTCACGTGAAAACCCTCATCTTCAAATCGAGTTTTTAATAACGCTTAACGCTCATACTTTTTTCCAAACAAATAAGGACTCGTCAACTCGCCTTTTCAAATCTTCCCGGAAAAATAGGAAGCACGAATGATTTATAGATATTACCCCCAAAAAATTCATGTTTGGTTGACACCTAATTTTTAACAGCTCTGGCCATTAGCGTAAAAAAAATTATTCCCATCACGCATGAAAAGGACACGAATACACTCACTGAATTTTATCAATAGATTTCGCTGTGAAATTATATTTGCAAGTTGCACATCTTATAATATTAGCTGGAAAATTGTTTCCTGAAAATATTTTTAAAATTTCACTATGTTTTGACTAAAAGAACTGCATCTGGCAACTCCGTTGAATCAATATGTAAATTATTTCAGCATTTTCAGCTACTCGGCCATAGATGGCGCTAAAATCAGTACTATCAAGGGCAGAATCAAGCTGTTTACGGCAGACGGCTTGATTTCGAGGCGCGTTTTTTTACCATTCATTCAGAATTCTGGAGACGGTAGGCTATTATATTCTTTGGTGTAAGGGGAAATTTTGTAATAATGCCGCACCGACAATATCATTTTTTGAGAGTTTTTAGAAGTGTTCTTTAATATTCGATCAAATTTTGGCAGTTCTGATATTTCGTTAGGTAGGTATATACCTAGGTACACCTTTCCAAAAAAAATATTTATTAAAAAACCAAATAAAAAATAAATTACAAACTTGACTTCAAAGTAAGATACCAAAGTTTCATCGTAATCGGATAAGTGGTGTAGGAGCGCATAAGGGACAAACAAACAAACATTGATTTTTATACATAAAGATATTAGAAAAACCTATACCAAATAGTTCTAGCTTTGAAAACTAATGTGCCTTTTTTGTTGTTTTTGTTCAGAACCATATCTACATGTTATCAAAAACTATAGAACTATAGTGCGTAGACCAAGAAATTTAATTAGAACTCCTCTAGAATAAATTAAGGGACCGGCATGAAGTTAGCACTCCCATTCTTGATTTTCAAAAATGTTCAACTTCTACTGCAGAACTAATAAAGTTAGCACCCCTATTTTTGTTTCACCTTTAACTGCAAAACTATTACTGCAACCTTTTGATAACTATAGAACTAGGTATAGTACGTAGACCCAGAAATGTCATTAGAACTCCTCTAAAATCAATTAAGGGTGCGGCATGAAGTTAGCACCCCCATTCTTGATTTTCAAAAATGTTCAACTTCTACTGCAGAACTATAACTGCACTCTTCAGAGAACTATAGAACTCTTTCCAAAAAGGCAAGAACTCATTAACAAGCTGAGGGTGCTACAAGTTAGGGTGCTAACTAGTCACAAGTCAGGGTGCTAACTACTCACAAGTTAGGGTGCTAACTAGTCACGGGAACGATATGGAGATGACGCTACACTACGGTCACTACTACAAACTTTGCTACTACACTACAAGCGTAAGTACTCATGACAATAAACTTTACAAACAAATACTACATCATTCTAGAAAAATAAAAAATCAAAGGTGGCTTAACATATTCATTCACCTTTGACATTAGAGATTAGTACCTACCCACTCAGCGCTACGAAGGTGGCCAGACCACAAAAACATTCAAAATAGAATACAAAAATAAATTATTAAGGGTCCAACTTCAAACATGGTACAATGATTTGAATGATGCAAATTATATTCTGCAAAAGGACCCCCAGAGAAGATAAAATGCAAAGGATAATAAATCTGGCAGACACTCTTTGGCAGGCGAAATAAAAACCTTAAAGTGGTCCCTTAATTCGGAGAATGACATTCAAGTTGACCACAAATGCCTTTTAGAAATGTTTCTGCGACCCATCCCATGCTAGAGGTTTTTTTTACCTAGGTTTAGCCACGTTTAGCTGTAACCATCTGGAAGAATAATAGAGCAATATTTGACCCTCCGAGCTTTTACGCGGAATTGCAGAATTGAGATGTACGGAATTTATTTAAATCTATAGCCACTTCACTTAGTGAGAATTCTAAAAAGGTGAATTATGTACAAATGCATGATTTCAATTAAGTAGGTTGTTATAGTCGGGTTTATTCGCTATGTGAGCTATATCAGCCAATATAGTGGAAAAAGATGTAGAATTCCAAGTGTGGTTCTAACGAAAATTGCCTTTTCCTGCATTATAAAAGCCCTATACAAAAAACAATAATTGGAACAGAGTCAGAACACTACGTTTTTATGTCAATACCAGAGCCCTCACAAAATAAAAATTTTATTGGCAGTACCTATTTATTTGAGTATAGCTCAGTTTTGTTAGTTTGGGTTATTTTTCATTAACTCGGTATTCGCTATGTGAAACGTTTGTGGCGACATCTGGTGGTATTATATTTGCACTTTTGAGGCGCAATTTGTTAAAAAAAAGTGATGCAATTGTTTTTTGAAAAATGAAAATTGAACTGTTTTTGCTATTATTTTTACAATAAAAAACACTACACCTTGTAATATGCATGTTTATAATATTAAAAATGTGAAAAAACGCCAGCAAATTCACTTCACAATTGACGCTCTAGTTGCCGATATTGTCACAGTAGGGAAAACATACCCCCACCATGCATACTTTCATACCGAATTCAAGTAAGTTGGGAAAAAAAAAGAAATTTATTGAGTTTAATTAATGGAAACACATGATTACATTTCTTTCAACAATAGATAGGTACATTTTTTTATAATACGTAGTCGCTTAAAGCTGTGCTCCATGCGCATTAATCAAGCCATTAAAACTCAGATTTATTGAAAAGGGTGAGGATAGAACATTTTCAAAGAAACACTAGTTGGAAGAAGCTGAAATTCATACAATTCGACATATAAAGTTGTACCTAAAGAATTGAAAAGAATACAGGCCTAGAGTGTTTTAGGTGACGTGCCCTGTACCGGCTGTACCTATAATGTTCGTTGTGGGTTATTTGGTAGCAAGGCATATAGTTATTCAAGGAATTGCAACGTTCTTCTTTAACTGATGCATTTAAAGCTGATAAAATGAATGTGGCAGGGTGATAAAAGTACGATCGGAGTAGGGAGTAGAGGGGGAGGGGGTCAACTTTGACCAGAATAGTTGCAGTTTTCTTTGAGTTGCAAATATCATGAATCCGTCGTCCCAAGGTCCTGAGCCTTGACATTAGAGAAAGTTCACCATTTTCTTTGACGATTTTGACATACGACGATAAAAAAATTCCTCCATTTCTCCATTGGTCTTTCTAGAAAATCAGACCATAAGGCACTAATTTGCATTGTCCTTTCTCACTTTTCCTAAATATTGTCATTGTTACTGACACATTTTTCGTAAACAAGTCCCTAACCTTATTTTCAACAAAGTAGGTGGTAAGAAAATCATATATTTCTACAGGCATTAATTAAGGTTAATTATAATTACCTGATTTATTTGCGCCAAAGCGACATCTCCATCCACCCAGCCAGGCCTGATGTACAGGTCGGACTCGTGTCGAGAATCCGGTCCTGGCGCTATAGGCGCCGAGGCCCCTGTCGCCATCTGTCAATGCTCAGGGCCGGGTAGGCCCTTTGTGACGCTCCACTCCATTCAGGGCTCCATGGATTAACCCACAACCCGTTAGAGCTGTAACAAGAAGAAATTATCTTTACCCTTGAATTTTACTTGATTTAGTTGATTCGGTTTTCTCAATAATAGATAGGTAATAGGTGAATGGCCATCGCTCGCAATTTTATGTTAGATTGAACTGGGTTAGTCTCGCACGAAGGGTTTTATTTAACTCTATTTATTTATATTTATTTAGGAATAATATTTCGCTAAAGGTATGGTCCAGCTTGTGCGTCCGCTGCGTGCAGCCGACGTTGCATTAAGTGAATCATATTGTATATGTTGTGCCGACGAAACACGGAAAAAGGGACGACAGTGCGGTTTCAATCATCATGGAGAACATATTTTAAGATTTTGAGGAGATCCAAATTATTTTGCAGTACCTACGTTCATTCCAAATAGATATGAACGCTGCTATCTTTCTCCAAATATTATCATTTATCACTATATTCCCATATTCGGCATGTGAAGCATTGTACAGATATTTATATCGAGATACTAGCTCAATTATCATCTTTTCTTCATCCCACGAAAAATTTTCTAAGCTCATTTTCAAAAAATCATACCTTCACTGCACGCCGTCACAGCTATGGCTGCTATACCAAGCAGTGAAGAAGTCTGCTGTTGCAGCCGCTGTTGCGACGTCGCACAATTCGAACCAGTCGTTCATTTTTCCGATTTCAGCAGTCCATGCGTCGGACGCGGCAACCGCTGCATGCAGCGGACACACAAGCGGAACATAGGTACATTAGCCCCTATGCGTACCATCTAAAGGGAGAAGGGAGGCAGTTTTATAATAAAAGAAAGCTAAGAAAGCAATTAAATTTAATGTGAAATATCCCTCACAAGAGCATGAATACCAGTTAGCTATTAGTATTAGCATTGTATTCGTAAAACCCTATCACCGTCGAAAAAATATGGGATGCTTGATGGAGGCAGGGGGTCCCCTTTAAACTTTTCCAGACAGTCCGACGCAAAAGAACATGGATGAAAGAGAAAACTTGCCCAGGAGTAGCAGAAAATAAATCTAATTTTGTAGCCATTTCAGGATACGGAATGGGTTGTTATCTGATGGTTCTGTTGGTTCTCCTATTTAGCCAAGTACAAAGAGACCTTATTTGACCCAATTTTAACTAAATTCTGCAACACACAGTATCCTAGCACAAGCACTAATGACTGATAACCGTCATGCATACTTATCTATATTAAAACCTTGGTAAGGTTTTTCAAATGTATTGATGAGGGAGGGATGGCAACCCCATGAATCATAATATGTATGTTTTTTAGAAACATAAAGTCGGAATAATTATCATAATAAATTGAGTGTTATTAGCAACAATAAAATCACATGCTTATGACAGTAGGCTAGCCTCAAAAACTAAACGGCAAATTAGGTAGTGATAAATATGTATAAACTGGGTTGGAGAAATTGAAGGGCCTCATGAATGAATTTTTTATTGGATGTTGGGATTGGGAATCGAGTTGGAAATAAAGGATTATAGGTGAAATAGCATTCTGCACACCTAGCTCTATCTGTCAACATTTTAAACATTCAATAGAAAAAATAGATCTTTTACAATAGTAATACCGAATATGGCAGAGAATACTTCCGACGATGAAATATAATTCAAAAATGGCGGAGTTGCGAAACTTCCGAATCTTTTACTGATTCTGAGTTGAAAGTCGTCTCAGTCAGAACGCTAACCCCTTGTAACCAATCAACTGTATATTAACGTCACCTCGTCACCATGTAAAATCGACGTGGGTTCGCATGTCTGCAGACACGACTATTATTAATGTCCATCAACTTAGCCAGACAACTTCGGAAAATCTAATTGCCATCATTATACCAAGAATTTGCCTTTTTTGCGGCTAGTAGTTGTGGAATTGAAAAAATTAAGGCAATGTTTACGTGTTTCCCTTTGACTTGACGGGCAAGTAGAGTAGAAAGAAAACATAGCTAAAAAAATAACGGCAGCAAAAAATTGAATGAGTGATAGCTTGCCGTTTTTTTGCCGCTAATTAGTTGGAAATACTGAAAATTTGCAGCTGAAAAAATCGTACTCGGTACCTTAGCAGAATATATTAAATATTACACTTACACTTTTTCGACTATAGGTAATAGTTTTTATAATATAGCTGCAGTTTCTTAAAATAAGAGTAGTAGTTACTACTCTTCTCAATCAAACAGGAGTGGAGTCATGGGGTGAGGGGGGGAGGGGTTGTTCCTAAGTTCCTAAAATATATCGAAAGTTGGGAATACTTGCATAACAAATTTAAAGTTGGTCGACAAAAATTTGCGCACCTTATTGACGGAGACTAATTAAAAATTAACATTAGGATCGTATCACGTATCGTGATGAATTGAAAAGTCACCGGACAATAGGATGACGAAATCCAGAGGCGGCGCGTGCCTTCAAAAAGTGGGGGGCTAAATTTAGGAATTTTTGTTAAGAGTGAGCTTCTCGATGCTGACAAAATAGGTATTTCGCGTTCGCGACTATGCTGTTTTAATAAAAACAGTTGCATCTAGGGAATTCTAACAAAAACTGTTTTTAAGAATGTACTTTTGTGCATGCTTGACCAATAATTTTTTTTTGATTTTTCTCATTTTTTGGAAAAAAAATTTCATAAAATGAGAAAAATCAAAAAAAATTTACTGATCAAACACGCGCATAAACATATCCTTGAAAAAAGTTGTCGGTTAAAATTTCCTAGATGCAACTGTTTTTATTAAAATAGCAAAGGCGCACTCGCGATTTTCAGCATCGAGAAGCGCACTCTTAATCTCCATTTTTTTGAAATTATGAGAAAAAAAATTTCATGTATTTCAAAAAAAGTGGGAGAGGCTTGAGCCCCCCCGTGCCCCCCTGACGCGCCGCCTCTGGAAATCCCAATGGTCGGGACGATCTCTTGCGTTGCACTTTGCAATGCACTAGCGCCACTAGCCTGTGGCAGTGGCACGTAGCACTCGTGGCAGTAGTGGCACTAGCGCCACTAGCACTATTCAAGAGTCAAGACCGACGACCGACGTAGTTGTATCTATAGCTTGTTATTGCAAGCGCGTCGTGTTTGAGAGAGATGAACAATATACACTGCTGGACAAATGAAGCGGAACAAGGGAATTTTTAGTTTAACTTAGAATTCCAATATTACGCGACCCAAAGAAAAGAACAATGAGCGGTTTGCGTAATTTAAAAGATAATTTCGCAAACCGCTCATTGATATCTTTTTTAATTCGCGTATTATTGTAATTTAAAGCTAACCTAAACATTTGCTTGTTTCGTTTCATTTGTCCAGCAGTTTAGTATATTACATAATCCAAACTTCTTATATTATGTTGCCTTCTGCGTTCTGCGCTTCCTTCGCTCGCAATTCAGATTTCAGCAAAGCTCTCAATCTTAATCCTGTGCTCTTGAGTTGAGGAAATAGTTTTTGGTTTTTCCTAAACTTTTTATCAGTTTTTGAAGTGAAACTTCTAGGCGGCGTGGCGGTCTGATATTTAGACGAGAATCTGGGGAGTGATTTGAAAAACGCATCACGTAACTTCACGTTTTGGCAAATTTCGTTACACGAGAGGCGAGAGAGAAGGAAGCTATAACGTTAACGTACAATATAAAGAGACGGAGAAAGCGAGCCAATGACAATGACAGACGAGGAACGATTGACACAAACCAAGGATTATAAGCAAAGAGGATTGCCTTATTGCCTATCATTGTCAAGCGCCGATACCCTTGTGACGTCACTATAGATGCGCGTCTCTTTTTTGTGTGGCCCGAGGTGTGGCCCTTCGTCTTCACCCCGACTCATACGCTAAGTCTAGGTATAGTTTTTAAAAAGTTTCACTTCTCTACACGTGTATACGATTCTACACATGATTTTTTTGAAGTTAAACTTTTTAGGCGGCAGTATGATTTGGAGGAGAATGGAATGTGATTTAAAAGACGCGTCACGTTACACATAACGACACGTTTTGAAAATTTCTGCACACGAGAGACGAGAGAGAAGAAAGATATAACGTAGAGAGACGGAGAAAGACAGCCAATGACCATGACAGCCGACGAACGATTGACACAAACTAAGGTTTATAAGCAAAGAGGATTGCCTTTTATTGTCAAGCGCCGATACCCTTGTGACGTCACTACAGATGCGCGTTTGTCTTTTGTGTAGCCTCTCGTCTTTATACCCCGACTCATGCGCTAAGTCTAGAAGTTGTATGAGGGAGGGAATAGTTTTTAAGAAGTTTGACTTCTTAACATATGTACGATGCTACATATGATTTTCTTTCTAATGTTTTAATAAAGTTGGCAGAGGCCTTCGCTAGGTCCCTGCAATCAAAAACACAAATAAATTAACCTATATCAAGTTAGCAATACCACATGCACGCCGGGATATGGCGTTAAGTGATTAATTTGTCGCTTTTTTGTCGTGCAAAAAAAAAAAAATTGTCGCGTTTTTCTTTTTTCTTAAATACCCTGGTAGTGCTAACTTAATATCAAGTTAGCACTACCAACGTCACCCGATGTTCCTACAGACATTTTATTAGGTGAATAATTTGTCGCTTTTTTGTCGTAAATTTGTCGTGCAAAAAATAAATTTGTCGCGTTTTTCTTTTTTCTTAAATACCCTGGTAGTGCTAACTTGATATCAAGTTAGCGCTACCAACGTCACCCGATGTTCCTACAGAAGTTTTATTAGGTGAATAATCTGTCGTGTTTTTGTCGCAAATGTGTCGCGCAAAAAAAAAAAAAATTGTCGCGTTTTTCTTTTTTCTTAAATACCCTGGTATTGCTAACTTGATATCAAGTTAGCGCTACCAACGTCACTCGATGTTCCTACAGAAGTTTTATTAGGTGAATAATTTGTCGTTTTTTTGTCGTTTTTTTGTCGTAAATTTGTCGTGCAAAAAATAAATTTGTCGCGTTTTTCTTTTTTCTTAAATACCCTGGTAGTGCTAACTTGATATCAAGTTAGCACTACCAACGTCACCCGATGTTCCTACAGAAGTTTTATTAGGT